GCTTCCAACCATCTAACCTTTTCTTGACGCGAGACATAACATCAGCATAATGTTGCTTTGTCGTTCTTCCATGTTTGATAATTGAACCCAGGTATCTGCCGAGGCTCTTCGTTGGCTGAAAATTACACTTACTTGCTATTCTTTCAGCCTCGTCGTCGCGTACGTTCCTGGAGAAATAAATGAGGAATTTGTTACTGCTCACCTTTTGTCCATATGTATCTTCGAAATTTTTGAGTACTTTCATTATTGTTTCTGCTTGCTGCATGTTGACTTCAGCAAAGATCATCTGCGAACATAATGTGGGAGATGCTGGACCCGCCTTGCTTGTTTTAAGGGGTTTCCATGTCCCATTGTCAACACTATCTGAGATGGCATGTCAGCACAATTTTTTTATGCATCGATATAATTAACAAACATAACTTTAAAATGTGGAATAAATCCTGATTTATTATACCACAACCATTTGCAATTTTTATTGATAAATTAACAATCAGTTTATCATTATAAATTATGGAGAATTTTTTTTATCTTTTTAAAGGATATAATTTTGCGTTATTTTAGATCCTAACCGTTTATTTTCGTCAATCAACGATTATCATTTATTGTAAATTACTAATTTATTATATAATTAGATTTGGTAAATTATAACAGTTGATTGATGAAAATCATCGGTTTAGAACTAAAATGACAAAAAATTATATCCTTTAAAAGGATAAATCTTTTCCCCTAAATTATAAAGGAAAAAATGTGTGTCATTTTAAAGGATGTAAAGTTATATCATTTTAAGTGAGAGAAAGAAATAGATAAAGGAGAAGAGAGAGTGAAAAAAGAAGAAGGTGTGGGTCCTATCTCTTTGTGAGAGTGAAATAATATAAATTATGTCATTTAAAAAGAAAAACAATTATATTAAAACAAGACATAAAATAACTCTTCGGGCAATCTCTCAATTAATAACTACTTGACTTTTGAAGCTTGCCAGCATATGTATATTGCGAATAAATATTTAGTGCAAGACAAAAAATATCATATTATTTAGTCAATTATTATTTAATTTTTTTTTCTTCAAATGATGTGATCTTTTTAGTCCAATATCATAAAATAAATGGAAGCTGCATTGAATATTCAGTGCAATTAAAGATTTATTCGGTTTACCAAAAAAATAAATAAATTATTTGTATATTGCATGTTACTAATTTTTTATTATTATTTACAAATTGCAAGATATTTTTTTAACTCATGAACATTATCAAATTCTAGTGCAACTTTACCCGTCTCTTATGTTCAAATTTCATATAATTTTGTTACCTGAAAATTTTCTAATTAAATAGGTTAAATCTTATCAAAATTTGTGAAATTTTAACGTAAACCCTAAGCCCTAATTATTTATTCCCGCTTTTGAATTAAATTGCAGACTAGATAGTTTATCGATCCATTCCCGCCAAGGCTTACCTTTTTTTTTATCAAATCCTTTTGGGTTTGTTCCCATTTTAGTAATTGCTGACTATTTGGCCACTGTTATGGTGATTCCCTGCTTTGACTTGTTCCCTTTGGAAATGTAAATGATTTCTATACATTTTCCCCGTTTCTCTTAAAATGTGCTAATTTTCATGTTTTCTATATGCATATACAGTATTTGGAGGATGAGTATCCTCAGAACCCTTTGCTGCCTCGTGATAATTCAAAAAGAGCAATCAATTTGCAGGTACTATTTCAGTTCTTCATGTTGTTTGTGAAGAGTTTTCTCTGTTGTGTTTCACATGTCCTCCTTACTGTGGCGTACGAGTTACTCAATTAGAAGGAATATATTATTCAGCTTTTTGGTAAGCCAGTAATCAGTTTGAGTGTGTTGGATTGGATTGTGTGGAACAATATGTGTACATGGTATTATGAAACAGAAACGATGAGCGACGAAGAAGGTTCATGGTAAATATTTTTGAAAAGGCATGGTGAAAACCCCTTTCCGCAAATATGCCTTTTTTTTTTCTTTTTCGTTTTTTGTTACACCGACCTTAATTATTTCTTTATGGCAAGTCGGCTATCCGATATCCCCACAAACTTTAACTCTTTGAACCACTATAAGATTAATCCTGAATAGGGATTTAGCCACAATTAAAGCTTACCGCCCCTCTTCAGAACTAATGCGCTAGCATGCTTTTAGCTCCTTAGTCGATGGTGCTCAAAATGTATAGAAGTCTATATTTTAGTATATTTACATGGGGTAGGATATTGTAACAACCAATTAAGGTTACTACCAATGTTACTATCAATCAATTTCACCATTAGATCGATTATGTTGATCTAACGATTATATCTATTTTCATTTTTGTACGGTTATGATTCCTCATATTTAATACCTTATATTTCAATGGTGCTCAAAATGTATACAATTCTATAAAAACAATGCTTCTATTAAAGTTGAGATTTCACATGCTTCCTCTGATAGAAGCATTGTTTTTTATCCCCACCTTTCACTCTTCTTAGTTCCTTCTTCTTTTGCTTCCTCCCTTGCCAAATCTCAATATCCTTATGAAGCTTTGTTGAAACTTTAAAGCCTACTCATTTTCTTTCTCTTGTAAGTAGATTTTGGGGTGACCTTTAGAGTTAAGGAACATGCTCCAAGGAAAAAAGGATACAACCCACTTTTTAAGAATTGACTTTTTGAACTCTTTGAGATAAAATTCATTATTCAAAAAATTTGAGGAATCTATATTTTGTATAGATTTATTTTGGGTTGGGATACTTTGGAGCTTTGGTTATAACTTTAGGGTTTTAGCCAACCTTTTTTCATCCTTTAATATTTTCTAAGACACTATCAAATTATTTATTGGTGTTCAAATTCACTATATATGAGCTCCCTTGCTTTCTATAGAGTCATTGAAAGTGATTTACTTGATTTTTCAAAGCTGAGTGAATAATGATTATGATGACATATTTTATCATTGCTAATTATTTTTTTAAATTTTGTTGTATCATTATTATTTAATAACATATGCATGTGGAAAAAATATTTTATATTACGAATGGTGAAATTTACATATTTTAAATTTAATGTTTGATTTGAAGGTATGAGATTTAAGAATTTCAATTATCATTCGAAATGAATTCAAAACGAATAAAAGTTGATTTGTTATGATTTTTATATATGTTTTAGAATCTATATTGGAATTCCATAACTGTTAGCGGGAGTAACGGTCCTGGTGTATCTAGTTTTGTATATGAATACTTTTTTTTTTTGGTATAACCTGGAGGTATCTTCATTCAACCTTCTCCGGTCACCTTGTCCTCAGAGTACGGTCCTGAAGGCTACCCTCTCATTGAAACAATGGGTGCATTGAGCTTCGCTACCGGAGGAAGGATGAGACTAATCCCCTATTCGAAGAGGGAGGCACATCCTTCTAGCCCCTAAAGATTTTTCAAGAATTTGCTTAAGGCAGGGTTTGAACCCCTGACTCAAGCAAACCCTTGGGAGCTCAGTTGCCAACTGAGCTACTCTTGGGAGTTTGTATATGAATGCTTTATTCTATGAAGAGAGAGTTATCTCTTAGATGAAGTCTCCACAAGGGAAAGATTACCCCTTGGAGGATTATCACTTATCAGCGAGATGAAGTCATCCCCGATCAGATGTTATGATCTAACTTGAATTGAGAAAAGAGAGGACTAACTGTTAGATGGAGTTGCCCCTGAAAGGACTTCCTTAGAAGGAGGAATTGTCTTAGATTTGATTCTCTCATGTGTGAGCCTATAGTATTAAATTATTATTTTTATTTTATTTTTTTATAATTAACATTTACATTACTTTGTAAATTTCTTCATTTCTTTTTACACAAGTTATTGACTTTGTTTGTATTATTTACTTTCATTGTCCTATTATCTTTATAGTTCATAAGTGAAAAGAGAAAATAACTTGTATGTACTTTGTTTTCGTGATTATTATGTCTCACCGAACCCCTATGACTCACTCCTCTTTTATTTTACTTCCAAAACAGTGGGTAGATGAATAGTAAACTGCTCGGAGTTTTAGTTCATCTTGTAGCTTTATTTTGGTGGTTCTCCATTCGATAGGTAATTTGTTAGTTTGTTTTTATTAAGTTCTAGATGTCTATAATATATATTTTATTGTTGCTGGCTGTTGATTTATATTTTGCATGACAAGTGTATAAGATTTTGGGATGTTAGAATTATAAGAAAAACTCTGCCAAAATTTTAATAAATTTTAAACTATAAATCATTTTGAAAGTTTCTTTTATTTAATATTTTTTTTTTCAGAGACAGGCTTACCTAGTTAAGAAGTGTTTTGTGGATTATCACTCGTTAGTATATAGTTCTCTACGTAATTGCACAATCAATCCAAATCCAATAAATCAAAATATTGAATGATTCTTTACGGTTTGTTGCATGTCACCTATCAGTCAATACAAAAAATCCAAGTAGATGTTTCTTTTCTTTTTTCTTATTTGTTTCCGTTTCTTATTATTTCTTTTTAAAATCAGTCTTGTGGCTTATCTCAATAAAAATCTTTAAGTCAATGTTGTCGTTAAATCGAGCAAGTAACCTCCCTGTAAGATATTTTCCTTCTTTCTTGTTGCCCAATTTTCTAATGAGATAACACTTGAGGAAAGGACAAGTCAACTGGAAGCCAACTAGACACAAATGAAGTGGGGCCCAGCTATTGACAGATAACGATATCTGCAGCTGTCAGATAGTGAATTTGGCGCTGAAACATTCAAAACCTAGGAAAGTCAAATTAAATTGGTACCCCTTACTAACTTCTTGCTTATTGCCATCACCTTATTAACTATTTGCTTATTGCCATCGTTTTAATACGTGGCGGAAGACTTCGTCTACATGGCAATAATTATGTCCTCCCCATGTAATATTATAATGTTGTTAATCCTATTGAACATTCTGTTATACTTTTGTTCAAATGATGTAGGAATACGCTATCATTGTTAGTTAGTTGTAATTCTTAATTGTATTACCGAGTAACAGTTATATTCAAGTTGTTTATTCATGCAATTTTCAACTAAATGAGACACAGTGGGCAAAAGAAATAACTTTAGCTTGTTGAATTTTTCTCCATTGATGTAATGAAGTGATGGTTGGATTCTCTGGATTGGCACTGAATGCTGTCAACAGAGGCTCTATATATTCAGCATTTTTTACAGTTATGAGAGTAGCCAAGTTTTGTGTCCTCTTTTAAGTTTGATCATGGGAGAAAGAATTCCAGTATTCCTTCTACTCATTTTCAGTTATTTTTTGATTGCAGTAGCAAGAACAGCGGATCAGGATCGTAAGTTCAATTATAATGTTGTGCTCTGTGTGTTAAATTTTTTTCTCATCGTCCAAGTGGTGTGCACATTGATGCATTAAGAGCTTATAATCTATAGAACTCAGCCTTTAACCTCTTGGAATAAGAAATATTCGACCTTGTTTTTCAGTTAATAAAAAATCTGTATACTTGATAAGCATCAAATTCTGGAAAGAGTCCTCCAGCATTCACTCTTATCTTCTGTAACAGTTCTTATGTTAAGATTCAGTGATTGAAATATGTCTTTGTATTTTTAATTTCTGATGCAGGCACTGCTTTTACAGCTATAAAAAGTGAGTGGCAGAACATCCCATCTAATTGGGTGGACTCATCAGATCCTTGTGGCGATGATTGGGATGGCATTCAGTGCTCCTTTGGAAGCGTTATCTCCATGTACTTCCTCTTTTAAATTCTTAGGTGAAGTTGCTAACTTCTGAATTGTTTTTTGTGAGCTTAACTTGATTGCTAGTGTTTCAGAACATTAGTGAACAGGAATTTGAGTGGCCAGCTTCCTTCAGAAATTGGATTACTATCTCAATTGCAGACTTTGTGCGTCTTCTACTTTGGTATTTTCTATTAATATATTATATTCGGTTCACAGATAAATGTATTTGAAACAATGCTCAGCTTCAACCCGATTACTTAATTGACAATGATCAAATATCTTAAGAATAACATCAAAATAATGTTGAGGAGTTGTCCGTGAACTGTGCATCCTGGAAAGTAATTATGTTTGGCTACTATCTATACAATTCCATGAAGACTTTATTTCATTTTTATTTATAACTTCCCCGATTTTAGTATTGGAAACTGTTTTTCATGAAGTTTCCCTTTGTGTTTTGTTCTTGATTTTCCTTTGCAGGGATCTGTCTTACAATAAGAATCTAATAGGACGGCTTCCCAATGAAATTGGAAACCTTAAAAAGCTGCAAGTTTTGTAAGGACTTATTTAACATTGTTAAGATTATAACCCAAGTCTGATTAAGTATGATCATACAATTCTAACAATGATCTTTCTTATTTTATCTCCCAGAACTCTTATTGGTTGTGGTTTCAATGATGCTATCCCAGATACAATAGGAAACCTACAGAGGCTTGTCCAACTGTAAGGATTTTCGCTTTATTTTTCGAAGATTTATATAAAAGGCCTCTTCATTTGGCATAACCTATAATCCATAGGGTTATTGCCTTTAAAGTCCTTGGCACTTCCTATATGGGCCTTTGTGTTTCGAATATCATATTTCCATTTCTTGTTTTGCAGTCTTAACATATTTTTCTGGTGCTACTGATATCTTGTGCAATAACTAACTAAATTTCAATTGCAGGTCTTTAAATTCTAATAAGTTCTATGGGCCAATTCCACCTTCCATTGGTAGACTCTCAAGAATTACTTGGCTTGACTTATCTGAAAACCTTCTTTATGGGCCCATCCCAATATCAAATGGAACTACTCCTGGCCTTGATATGCTGTTCAATTGTCTGCACTTGTATGTGAAATCCATTTTGTAAAAGTTGGCAATATCTTTTTTTTTTCTCTTTACAATAATTTGCTTTATATCTATTAAAATCCTTCTAATATATTTCCATTATCTGCAGTCATTTTTGGAGCAATAAGCTTTCAGGCAATATTCCTCCTCAACTTTTTAGCTCGGGAATGTCTCTGAAACATGCGTAAGATCCGTCCCAATGTTTTTCATCTGGAATTTGTTTATATTGAACAAATGGAGCTGAGCATTTAAAATCATCGTAATACTGACTCATAAAAAATGGGTATAAAGCTCTTGCAACATCAAAACGAACTTGTCACACTGTAGTGAGTCCTGCCAGTTTGTTCTGTGAAATTACTTCTTTCTTATGTTTACTTGAAAAAGGTATTCTGATATATTATAGAATTGTGTAAATACTTTGTACAAAGGTTCTCTATTTATAGAGAATACAAGACCTAGAATACTTGACCTAATGGGTTAAGCCCAATACAACAAATAATAAATAAATAAATAATATTAATATTTACAACACTCCCCCTCAAGCTGAGGAATAGATATTTATCATTCCCAGCTTGCTAGTAAGCTCTTGAAATCTATCTGAAGGAAGTCCCTTTGTCAATACATCAGCTAATTGACGCCCGGTGGAAATGTAGGGTGTGGTAATCAACCTGCTATCAAGTTTCTCTTTGATGAAATGGCGGTCGACCTCAATATGTTTAGTCCGATCATGTTGAACCGGATTATGAGCTATACAAATAGCTGACTTATTATCACATAGCAGCTTCATTGGTCCCTCACATTTTATTTTAAGATCATCAAGTATAATTTTCAGCCATAGTAACTCACAAATGCCTTGAGTCATGGCTCGAAATTCAGCCTCTGCACTTGATCTGGCAACCACATCTTGTTTCTTACTTCTCCATGTCACCAAGTTACCACAAAGAAACTTACAATAACCAGTGGTAGAACGACGGTCCGTCACAGATCCAGCATAATCAGCATCAGTGTAGACTTCTAAAGAGAGATTGCCATCTCGCCGGAATAACAGTCCTTTACCAGGAGTAGCTTTAAGATACTGAAGAATTCTCTCCACTGCCTGAATGTGTTTCTCCTTTGGATCATGCATAAACTGACTGACAACACTAACAACATAAGCTAAGTCTGGTCTAGTATGGGCCAGATATATCAATTTCCCAATTAGCCGTTGATATTGTCCTTTATCAACTGGAGGACTCTCCTCTTCAAAGCCTATCTTGTGATTCTGCTCAATAGGAATATTAGAGGGTTTACACCCGAGCTTTCTTGCTTCTTTGAGAAGATCCAAAACATATTTCCTCTGACTGATAAAAATTCCTTTGCTTGAATGAGCTACTTCTATCCCTAGGAAATATCTCAGTTTCCCAAGGTCTTTGACTTCGAACTCAGAGGCAAGCCGTGTCTGCAGAATCTGTCTCTCCACAAAATCATCACCTGTGATCATAATATCATCAACATATACAAGGAGAACAGTAAGCTTCCCATTTTGGAAGTGCTTGAAGAAAAGAGTGTGATCTCCTTGACTCTGTCTGTATTCTAAGGTCATCATAACCTTAGTAAACCTTCCAAACCAAACACGAGGTGACTGCTTCAATCCATACAAGGCCTTTTTTAATCTACAAACTTTATTTTCCCCTTCACAGAATCAAAATCAGGCGGTATTTCCATTTAGACTTCTTCTTCTAACTCACCATTGAGGAAAACATTTTTCACATCAAATTGATTTATATCCCAATTGTAATGGGCAGCAAGGGATAACAAGATTCTCACCGTATTCATCTTTGCAACTGGAGCAAAGGTTTCTTCATAATCAATGCCATAGGTTTGAGTGTAACCTTTGGCGACTAATCGAGCCTTGTATCTCTCAAGAGTGCCATCAGAATTATATTTCAGGGCATAAACCCATCTGCACCCTACTGCTTTTTTTTCCGTTGGGTCTATCAATAACCTCCCATGTTTTATTTTTTTCCAACGCATTCATCTCCTATTGCATGGCTTGAGCCCAATTCCCATCTTTTAAGGCTTCATGTACTGATTTTGGAATTGCAATAGTATCTAGTGCTGAAACAAAGCTTTTGTGCTGCACAGAAAGATTAGAAGAGGAAACAAAGTGGGAGATAGGATATTGAGTACAAGAGGGACAGGAGGAACAAGTTTTCTTGTGACAAGATCTTTTTCCTTTTCTAAGAGCAATGGGCAAATCATCAGAATCAAAATTAATGGGTAACTTATCAGAAGTATTAACATCATGATCAGAAATATGAGATTCAGGAGAAACATGAGACTCAGAAGAAACAGGAGATTCAGGACTTACCAGTGGTTCAGACGATTGAGGTTGCTGGTGAGACAGTATGGGTTGTTTCCTCCTCTGATATACCAATTTAGGTGTCAAAATTTTCCGTATCTCAGGTGTATTTGAAGGTTCTGACACACCAGGAGCAGATACACTAGGTAGAGAGAAGACTGATCCAGGCTCAAAGAAGGAAGGGGACGAGTCTTCTGAAGAACTGTTCTCCCCTTGACGATGAGAACCTAGGAAATAAGATTCAGATTCTTGAAACGTGACATCCATAGAAACAAAAAATTTTCGACTTGGTGGATGATAACACTTGTAGCCTTTTTTATAAGGGGTATAACCAAGGAAGACACACTTAAGAGCCCTAGGATCCAACTTACTCCGATGTTGTTTATGAACATGGACAAAGGCAACACATCCAAACACTCTTGGTGGAAGGCTCTGCAATATGGGAACAGAAAGAAAGAAGGAAGTCATGGAATGAATAGGACTGATATTGTTAAGGACCCGTGAAGGTAAACGGTTGATCAAAAAAGTTGCAGCTAACACTGCTTCTCCCCAATAAGAACTAGGAACAGATGTCTGGAAAAGTAGTGCTCTAGCAACTTCAAGAAGGTGACGATTTTTTCTTTCAGTAACCCCGTTTTGTTGAGGGGTATCAACACATGTGAGCTCATGAATCATACCTCTGTCTGAAATGAATTGTGACAGGCGTTGATTGACGTACTCAGTACCATTATTAGATCTGAGTCTTTTAATACCTTTACCAAACTGAGTCTCAACCATGTGATGAAACCGAATAAATATCTCTGGTACTTCAGACTTGTCTTTCATCAAGTATATCCATGTTACCCGAGTACAATCGTCAATAAAAGAAACAAACCACCTTTCACCTGAAACACTGTGCATTTTAGAAGGGCCCCAAACATCAGAATGGATAAGAGAAAAAGGTTCCTTTCTTTTAATAGTGCTAGAAGGAAATGACACTCGATGGTGTTTTGCAAATTCACAAACATCACAATGAAAGGTCTCAACCGACTTATTGAGAAACAGATAGGGGAACATAGACTTCAAAAGACTAAATGGTGGATGCCCCAGACGCTTGTGATGGAGCCAAATCATAGACTCTGCAGTGAAGGATGACGTGTCATTAATAACTGATTTTTGCTAGCATGGTCTGGAAGGAGATGATACAACCCATCCTGTTCATTAGCAACTCCAATTGTCTTCTACGTGGTAAGATCTTGAATAACACAATGAGAAGGAAAAAATGTGATAGAATAATTCAAATCAGTTGTAAGTTTTTGAGTGGAGATAAGATTAGTAGAAAGCTGAGGAACATAAAGGACATTCTTAAGAAACAAGGAAGGTTGAATTTGAATGTTATCAGAACCAATAACTGATTTATGGGATCCATCAACTACGGATAAAGTATGACTACCAACAGTAGGATGATAAGAACAAAACAACTCAGTACGACAAGCCATATGATCAGTTGCACCAGAATCCTCCATGAGGTTTTAAAATCAGTGCAAGAAGCAAGAAGAGATGTAGAACGTGTGTTCTTACCAGATAAGATCAAAGAACGGTCATATGGCTTACACATATTATCAATAGCGGGTTTAAGCTGATCCATGGAGAGGAGACAAAAAAACAAGCAGGAAATTTTTTGTGAACAGTACCCGATGAACAGTACCAAGTGAACAGTACCCGATGAACAGTACCACGTGAACAGTGTGCGATGAATAGTACCGCGTGAACAGTGTGCCATGAACAGTACCGTTTTTTTTTTTTTGAGCTGTTCCGGTCGTCTGATGAAAAAGAAACCTCCGTAGAATGATAGATCTAAGAAAACGGAGTGAAACAAGGGTCCTCACGGTCCAAAAGGTCCCTGAATTTTTTTTCCGGCGGCGGCTTTGTGGCGGCGAGAGGCAAATAGGGTTGGTTTTTAAAGATGGTGATTTGCGGAAGCAGAACCCTCAGAATCGAGAGCTCTGATACCAACTTGAAAAAGGTATTCTGATATATTATAGCATTGTGTAAATACTTTGTACAAATGTTCTCTATTTATAGAGAATACAAGACTTAGAATACTTGACCTAATGGGCTAAGCCCAATACAACAAATAATAAATAAATAAATAATATTAATATTTACAACATGTTTTATTTTCCTCTGCATTTCAAATAGGGGAGCCCCATACAGCCTGCTAATAGACCAATATATTTTTCACTTATTTAGCATTTAGTTGGCAAACTCTGTTTTTGTACAATGAAGGAAATGGAAACACACAGGTAAATTAAAGTAAAAAACAAGAGAGACTAGGGAGGGCACGGTGGGAAGAATTGTGAATTCAAGTTTACAATAATATCTCTTTGGCAGGCTTTTTGAAAGCAACCAACTTAATGGCAGCATTCCATCCACACTTGGACTTGTCCAGTCTCTGGAGGTGGTGTGAGTGTCCATATCTCATAGTTTAAATTAGTAAATAGAATTCTTTCTTCTTGTCTTGAAATATATTTTTGTGGCTGCAGGCGCCTTGATAGTAACTTGTTAAGTGGAAATATACCTCCGAACATCAGCAATCTTGGAAATCTGAGGGATTTGTAAGTAGAGAAAACTAATGTTCCAAACAAATTTTCATTATTCCTTAAGGTATATTGTTGGTGTCCATTGTGATAAATTTTAACTACGTTGATGGAGGTTTTTATTATATGTTTGTCAGGTTCCTGTCCAACAACAACCTATCTGGTCCCCTGCCAAACCTTACTGGAATGAATTCTCTCAACTACCTGTAATTAGTATATTGTTTATCTAAGATAATTTTTTTCTCTATATTACCATTGTCATCCAAAGTGAATACTTATTTTAATAACAATGGCTAACTTTGTTAATTAAATTATTCGGAAGGGATATGAGCAATAACAGTTTTGATCCTTCAGACATTCCTCTCTGGTTATCAACTCTACAGTATCTGACAACAATGTACGTCTTTCTTTATGAACTTTTTCGGCTATCAGCTTTTTTCTATCTCTCTGGGGTTTCAACACCAAAATGCTCATAGTTTCTTTTGTACGGCAGAGTAATGGAGAATACAAGTCTTAAAGGAACTATTCCTGTTTCTTTGTTCAGCCTGGTTCAGTTACAGACAGTGTGAGTACCAACCGTAATTGCTTTGGAAGTTCCATTTTATGCTAAGAATCAATGGCGGAAAACCTCACAGGGTTCTCAAAGTGTAAATATAGTTGTAACTAGTTGTTCATGTTCATCTTTGATACATTGATATATAAGCTAACTTTCTTACGTTACCTATATAGGGATCTTAAAGACAACCAGCTGAGTGGCACTTTGGATATTGGCACATCCATCAGCAGCCAATTGGAGCTCCTTGATTTGCAGAATAATTCAATCGAAGAATTTAGTCCACAAATTGCTGTCTCCCAAGTAAAGATAATGTAAGCCATAATCATAGTGATTAGTTTATTACAATAGGTGGTTTCATTAGTTCTAAAGAAATAGAAATTTTCTCTGAATGTTTTAAGTTTCAACGTTTCCATCTTGTCTTTGTTTTCACCCTTATAAGATTGATAATCAAATACATATTTGTTTGCAGACTTGTGAATAATCCGTTTTGCCAAGAAACAGGAGCTGGAAAGACTTTTTGCCCCACTGCACAACCCAACGGCTCATCTACAATGCCATCAAATAACTGTGTGGGTGTTGCCTGCAGCCCAGACCAGATATTAAGCCCCAACTGCATATGTGCTTACCCATTTACAGGACCTTTAATATTCACAGCTCCTTCCTTCTCAAACGTGGGAAACAAGTCAGTCTCTGGAAAGCTGGAGTCATCTCTGATGCATTTTTTTAATTCGAGTGGTTTACCCGTGGATTCAGTTCATGCAATCTTTCAAAAGAAGAGTGAATTGCAGTATCTTTATTACACTTTAGAAGTATTTCCATTTGGCCAAAAAGTTTTCAATCAAACAGGGATTTCTGATATAGTCTTTCAGTTTACCAGCCAGACATATAAGTCTCCTCCAAATTTCGGACCATATAGATTCATTCCTGATAACTATGAATACTATATGAATGGTTCAGGTAAATTTGATTCTACATATAGTAATGCAATTAATTATAATAAGGCCTCCATTTTAAGCCTATAACTTTCTCTTGTCCTTTGGTATTAGAAAGTCCTCCAGCGTCTGGTACACCGTCTGGTACATCTTCAAACATTGCCATCATAGCTGGAGCTGCGGTTGGTGGTTCTTTCCTGCTGGTCTTATTACTCCTTATAAGTGCTTATGCTTTCCGCAAAAATAAAAAGGGAAAAAGAGAAACTGGGAAAAACAATCCTTTTGGTAAGATAACCTTATACTTAGCTCCTGATCACTTAAGCTAACATTGAGTAGTTGAGTTTATTTATATTGATTTCATAAAATGCAGAAGAATGGGATCTGCATGAGAGCAATAATAGCATCCCACAGTTAAAAGGAGCAAGGTGCTTCACTTTCGAAGAGATTCAGAGCTGCACCAAAAACTTTTCACTGGTCAATAATATTGGATCTGGGGGTTATGGGAAGGTATTTAATGCGTCTGGTTTGCTTCATTTCTCTATAGTAGTCAAGCAATAGCCAATAGATTGATGCCAGTATCACAACATGCAATCACGTTTCACACCTACATAGTTGGCAGCATCTGATTGTTGTTGGTCCCATCAGAACTTCTGCTTGAACATTGTAGGGTAAAGCAATATGCATGTAGACTATCACTTAACAATCTGCCTGATATAAAAAAAAATTAAATGCTCAACTGTGTGTTATGTGTTCCTCTTCAGTCCTTTTTTTTTATACCAATTCAATTCTCTTTTAAATAATGAAAATTCTAATTTTTTCAGAAAGAACTGTAACCAAATGACACATTCATAGTGTCCGAAGAAGTAAAGGCACCTTATAGTTATGGCACCTTTCAGGAAGAGATGATGAGATATTTGTCAGCATGTTTGTAGCTATAACTATAACACTACTTAGCCTCTTAATGCACATTTAAGAAGTGTCTTAATAAAGGTAATGTTGGCAGGTTTATCGGGGAACTCTTCCCAACGGGCAACTAGTTGCAGTAAAACGAGCTCAAAAGGACTCTATGCAGGGAGGACTGGAGTTCAAAACTGAGATTGAACTTCTATCAAGGGTCCACCATAAAAATCTTGTTACCCTTGTAGGTTTCTGCTTTGATCAAGGAGAACAAATGCTGGTTTATGAGTATGTTACAAATGGTACTTTGAAGGATGCTCTTTCAGGTACATGTATATTCACGATTTCACATTATTAGTTTTGAGTAGTAAAAATACTCAAATTTATACAAGGGGGACTGGTGCGGACCATTTAGAAAAAGTTAAGGTACTATTTAATGGCTTGTCTATGTAATGTCTCTGATAGGATATGGAAAAATGTATCAGAGATAGCGCACAAAACACCAAGGAAATGGCAATCTGAATTTTCTATATATTGAACTAGAAAAGACAATTACAATGAATGCAAAAAACAGTAATGGAACAGAGGAAAATTACAATGGAAAAGGAAGAAAAACAAAAGATAATTTCAGAGCAATTAGAGAGTGCTCTGATTCTCTCCAATCTGGTTTCCCAGCCCAAGTTCCAATCTACTTCACACCCTTCCCCATCTTATACTAAGCCTACCCTCCTGAATATTCTAAAGTTAGTTATGCCCCTCATTGGTAGCTCATAATTCTCTACAACTCACCTTACATACACTTACATATATATTCCTATCAGTCTCTAAGGGTTTTGTGAGGAAAAAACTTTTGCAAGTTACAATATCCTTTGTTTAAGTACCCTCTATACACTTGGATAATTTGGTTTAACAATCCTCTTTTTAAGCAGTGTTTTCAGTTTTCAAATTGTTAACATTCACTGTAAATTTGGGCACCTGCGATTTTTGTCCTAGCCCGCTGAATCAGTAACCCATTAGTTTTTAAATCACTTGTGGTGGGTTAAGGCGCACAAATATAGAAGGGTTAGATAAATATTTTAAGGGGTTTGATTTTCTCATGTTAAATGAGAATTCAATTCTCATGTTGTAGAGAAAAAAAGCATGTGGGACGCATGTGTTAGAAAAAATTATATGTAGGACCCATGTCAGCACGGAAATCGAAGGGTGTGTAGGAAAATTTTAATTCTCATGTTGAATGAGAATTATAAAACCCATATTTTAATGAAGAAATGTGTAGAATGAGGACGAGGATGAGGCTGAGACTTGGAAGATGCAGTGATAGCTTCATTTGGACTTGGCCTGACCTGAATTGGGCCAAAGATTTTGGTGTTAGCGAATGAAATACTTAATAAAAAAAAGATGGATACCGGAATAACACCGTATCAACCCCCGTTTTTATCTGACTATTCAAGCTGGGCGCGAGCTTGACTCATGCATGTTGATAGTTCTTTAGCCATTCCAAAGTAGAAAAGAATCTTTCTGTGAGAGTTTTTTGCTTTCTTTGTTTGGTCATTTTCCATTTAGATATTTACTTATCACATCCTTGTTCCAGTGTCTTTGCATTATTATTTGATCTAGAAAAGGTGTAACAGGTTCGAAACTCTTTCTTTTCTTCTTTACCAAATAACACGCATATGATTATGGTCTCTGCAGGTAAGTCAGGAATTAGATTGGACTGGATAAGAAGGCTAAAAATAACCCTTGGTGCTGCCAGGGGGCTGGATTATCTCCATGTGCATGCCAATCCTCGTATCATACACAGGGACATCAAATCCAGTAACATTTTACTGGATGAGCGCTTGAATGCTAGAGTATCTGATTTTGGTCTCTCCAAGCCTTTGGGTGATGGTGACAAAGGCTATATTACCACTCAAGTCAAAGGAACAATGGTTGGTATATAATCTTCTAGAACTTTGCACTATAAATGTTTACGGGAATATAATTACATATTGAAAGATGAAAGCTTAATGGATGGGGGGATGATGTGTTTGGTTTGTTGCTAATTCGAATTAACAAAGTATTAAGTAAATGATTATTCTGTAAAAACTTTATCCATCTTCTTGAGATTTTAATAGTATTATTTAGGCATCTAAAACTAATATTTCCCAGTTATATCAGCGAATAGATAGCTGCGTAAATGCATACATAAAGGGGAAATTACACTTTATCTCCTTAAAATTTATATCCACATCAATATTACCGCACGTCCTTACCCCACCCCCCAACACACACACACAATTTACCTCTCTCTTGAACCCATTGAAGATTAAAAAACACTGATAATGGTAATAATTTTTTTTTTTTCTAACTTCAATGTTGAACTAGCAGATATCTTCACCAAACCTCTTCGAGCTCCAATGATAACTCGTGTTAGAGATATATAAAAACCATTAATGTAGCCTCATCCAACAGCTTAAACTTTTGGGTTGAATTGATTCTTTATATGGTATCAGAGCCTCGGTGTCCCGGGTTCGATCCTCGCCGCCCCCCGTTTTCTCTGTGAAATTTCTTAGCACAGGTGAGCTGGGCCTGATGCATCATCCACCTTTTAAGCCCAATGGGCTCTCTTGTGAGGAGGCATGTTAGAGATATATAAAAACCATTAATGTAGCCTCTTCCAACAGCTTAAGTTTTTGAGTTGAATTGGTTCTTTACAACTTGCATATATAACAAGCTTGATGCATACATATATATTCACGTACCAATTTGAGGGAGAGTGTTAACTATTATAGATAATATCTTTATCTCTTATCCAGGAGTTATTTTATTAGGGATTTGAATCGTAATCAGATTTTAATATTAATTCATAGGGGCTGAGAAAAATTCTCTTAGGCAATTCCAAGTATTTTATACCCCGTGAACCGACTTACCTCAAAAAAATAATTAGGGTTGGCATACCAAAAAAGAGTTCAAATGCATCTTGATAAATTCCATCGAATTAGGCAAAAACAAGATCACTTGCAATGTTTGCTACTATTCAAGAGGATGTAAGGTATGCTTTCGAAACTTTACAGGTCTAATTGTGGGACTTTAAAGTTTGTCGACTAAAGTTGATTATGATTAAAAACTTAAAGGCTTTAATTCACCCAACATAAAAATATAAAGACATGGAACTATAGATTTTTTAGAATGGTATTGGGAGCTTAAAACCTTTTGCAAGGGATACTTAAACCAGTAGAAGGGTTACTTATACCAATGGATCGAATGACTAACCACAATAAGTTGACTTACACCATATCCCAACCCAAAACCTTAAAACATTTAGGGCATGTTTGGAGCACCTGATAAAGAAGATAGGATAGTATAACTTATCATATCCTACTTTTATCTCTTGTTTGGTGGGTCAATAGGATATGATTAGTTTATCCTATTGTCTCATTCTATCTAATACATGATTTTTTATCCTATGGGGGGAGCTGGGTTAGGATTCAACAAGATAGGATACCAAATATATCCCTACGCTACCCAATATATTTGTATTTATTGCATTATATGTTGTTTTTTCTTTCTCCTTTCTCCTTCTACATAATTTTATCAGATTGCTAATCAGGTGCTCATCAAACACAGGACATGATATAGGCTTATCAGTCCCATATCATATCCTACCTTTATGAGCCCCATATCATATCCTATTCTTATTTTATCATGTCCACCAAACGAGCCCTTAGTCTATTGGTCTTTTACAAGTTATATGGTATTTAGTTGGTTCATTTCTAACCAATTAGAACATCACACTCACACTTGAATTTCCTTTCTAACAAATTTTTCCAACAATAGAACAGAATGAGTTCTCTTTGTAAATTGGAGAACTTGAAAAATTCCAGGAAACTGATATTTAAGGAGAAAAAGTTGAGAACTGTATGCTATTAATAAGCATTTATAACCCCACCTTTTGACTTCCTTTATAAGCTACCTCTTTGGCATGCATTCTCTCACGTATGTACACATGCACTTCATTTGAAAAGGAGTGTCACACGATGTAACCAACTGGATTTGAAAGCTGTGATCCTGAAACTTTCAATCCTCAACTAATTAATGGAGTGAAGATGGATCCTTTTGTACCATTAAGTTGTGATTAACAGTCTCAAAAATGTGATTCATATGGAGACGGAAAACACTATCGCTTATGTCTGCAGAAACAGCTAGTATCCAAGAATTTTTCGGATCTTATCAAAATAAAGAAATGATAATGGATTTTTGTTGTTATGTAGGGCTACTTGGACCCAGAGTATTATATGACTCAACAGTTGACTGAGAAGAGTGATGTTTATAGCTTTGGAGTGCTAATGTTGGAGCTAATGACTGCAAGAAGGCCAATAGAACGAGGGAAATATATTGTGAAAGTGGTTAGTAGTGCTATTGACAAGACAAAAGAGGTATGTGGTCTAAAGGAAATTCTTGATCCAGCCATTGATTTGGGGACAACACTGAACGATTTTGAGAAGTTTGTGGATCTTGCAATGCAATGTGTTAATGAGTCAAGTTCTAACAGGCCTTCAATGAATTCTGTGGTGAAAGAAATTGAAAACATGTTGCTGTTGGCTGGTTCAAACCCCAATGCTGAATCAGCATCCACTTCATCTAGTTATAACTTAAGTAAAGGGAGTTCCAAGCATCCTTACGATGAGTACTTTGATTCAAGTGTGATAATTCCTCGTGCATAAATTCAGCCTACGTAGGTCTTCTTTAAATAATGTAAAAAGGAGTGTGTGTGTGTGTGTGGGTGGGTGGGAGCAGGGGATGTTGGTAATCAAGTGTACTATGCTGTTAGCTTAAGACTGAACATGATTGGAGCTCAAGTTTGAGGAGAAACCCTTCTTTTAGTTTCTTGTTTACACTATCAGATTTCTATTATCTGGGATTGTGTAACATAATATTACTTTTGAACATACTATAGATTTGTCTTCTGTTCAAGTTGGCTTGTACAATGGCAGGATCGTGTGACATATATGTTACTTTTGAACATATTTCAGGACCTTTTTTTCCCTCTTGGTCTCTTTTCCCTGACACTTATAGCCATAAAATTTGAATTTTACGCATTCAATATTTTAAGGTGAAAGTCAAATTAAAGAGTAAATACTCTTTTTGGTCCTCAGCAAATTTCACGAAGCCCGCTTTAGTCCCTAGCAAATAAAAAGACCCATCGTGGTCCCTAAAAAATTCAAAATGGACCCATATTAGTCCTCTTTTGAATTTGTGAGGGACCTCGATTTCAACTAAATAGGTCCATTTTGAATTTCTTAGGGACCACGATGGGTCTTTTTATTTGCTAGGGACTAAAACGGACTTCGTGAAATTTGCTGAGGACCAAGAAGAGTATTTACTCTAAATTAAATTTATGTGTTCTTCATTCTTGATATCCGTTATCCAAACGATGTTAAAATCATTGAGAGAGGATAATTTTTGTTAGAGAAATCAATTTGACAATATTCACAGTTCTATGAAATTCACACAAGAAATTGAAATATGCAATAACACATAGTTAAAGTATACCGTACGAAAATATATGAATGCAACAAGGGAAAATCTGATCTTAGTGTTAGAGACATCATGTCCTTAAGACAATATTGCTCTCTCTATGGTGCTCAAGATTTGCGAACAACTATCTCTCAGGATAGAACGAATTATCTCTATTCTTATGGCAATACTTTCACATTGAATAGCATCATCGAACTCAATTTATGTCTTACCAACTACACTAGAGTAGACTAATGTAAATGCAAAGAAAAAAATATCTTAAAAATCCTGATTCTTTATATATTTATAGGAAACGTAAAGTCACGATTCAAAAGGCACCTATTCGTCGACGAAACAACACATTCGTTCGACACGAAAAGACGCATCCGTTCAACGATGAAAAAGCACACATTTTCAAATCAAACTTCTTATTCTTGAAAGTAATTAATTTTAAAAAATTAATTCCAATAATATCATTATGGATGCTTTGTATTGTTCCAGGAAACGGGGTTTCTATCTCTACTCAGCACCTATTTATTGACTTAAATTTAAGTTTTATGAGGGTCCCGCTTTAAAAATGTTAGTACTAAATAGATAAGCATGATTTATTTTTTGGCAATTAATGGAAGCTCGAGCGATTACATAACTACTTTAAATAAACATAATAATTAGCTGTATTTATCCCATGATTAGCACATAATAACAAGTTACATGATGCACCATTTTTTGTGTAGTCAACCAATGACTGTTGAAAGATTCTAAGTCCGTATCTTGTTCCATTTTGAGTCTATGAGGGAATACAGTTCCAACGCAGTTTTATCAACGTTCATTTCTTAATGACATGCATGTGGGCATTATGGATGTTAATGTTTCCCAAATTTCTATCAAGTGGGCTGAATCAAAATGCAATCAAGTCAACTATACGACAAATCACGAGATTATAATGACATGCAAGTTCTGTCTTGTAGATTGAGTCAGGATATTTATTATTTTGAATGGTGCTGAAACATTCAACCTCATCTTAAGAGTCAAGAAGGGTATATATGTTCATTGATGGATATAAATCTCTAAGTTATTACATTAAGTTCTTTTGACACATTCAACATTAAGATGAATCTCTTATTTCTTTATTAGTCTTATTTTATTTAACATTTGTTTCTTCAAAGCCCTTGTGTTTGATTTATATTTCATTTTTTTTACGGTTTTCAGGAAGACTTGGATTTGAGGTTCTTCTTCCAGTACTATATGACAGGACAGTACTTCTTGTCTCCATATAAGACCCATGTGAAATATGTAGTCTTGCGCTTTTTTCTCCGTATAGCCCCACCCACCAAATCAGATGATACGGGCTAAGTTTTACAATTTATTTTCAAAAGTGAGGCTTGTCTCATTTTTAGACGGGTTGATGACAGGAAAAAAGTGGAGCTTGTCAGTATAAAACTGGTTCGGATTGGCAGGCCAATTCGCTCCACCCACCAACTGAGGTGGGATGACCCGAGTTTTTTAGCCCCCTTTCAAAAGTGGAGAAGTGGAGTGAGACGAGCTGATTCATTTTTTGGGGGTTGATGGCGAAGTGGAAAAAGGACCGTCCACTTTGCCACCTCTATTTCTTGGTATAGTTTTTTTGTAAGAAAAAAATGCTTTTTGATTATACTAAAATTCCCTTAATCTGCTAATTAAGTTCATGGATTTCTTTTGGTTGACACTTTTTATAAGTCATAATTACTATACACGCCTTCTGATAACAAACCAGTTTGTTTTTTAGAAAAATATGTTCAAAAGTGGTTTTTAATAAAGGAAAATTTTAAATGTAATTTTAAGAAACTACTTTACAATAGTCACTTCTAATTTGAAATGAATTACTATTAGCTTATATCGATAAATTATTATTATGTAATTATGTTTTCAGTTTTCTGAGAGAACTTTAAACAAAATTATTTGTTTAATAATATATTAAAACAAACATGCATTTTAAAAAAATTAATTAATTACTAGAATTCGCTTTAAATAAAGACAACTTCTAATAAAAAAATTTAAAATCTACCACCTCAACTGAAAAAAACTTGCAAGTAATTCACATTTATAAGCAAATTGAACTTATTTTCAAAAAATATTTATATTGAAAATCCTCCCTCCTACACTAAATAGAATAAATTCCATAACTATTTTACTCATATGATGTATTTTTTTTAATCTCACGGGTGACTTGGTATGTGAAAATGAAGTCACATTGGTCATTGTCTTATCCTTGTAGTTTTAATGATTCAGGAATATGTCAATGTTAAATACTAAATAGTGTTACATACTTAAATGCATTACTTCTTAGCAACTTCGTTAGGGTATATACTTAAATGTATTTTATTAATGTTTTCTCATGTTTCATTTTGCATGAAAATTATTTTTAGGTAAATATACTTCTGTTGTCGTTACAGAATTTTTTTTTTGTAGCAACACACAGAGAAAATCAGGATACGCATGCGAATTCAATTTTTTTATTTTTTAAATGTCAAGATCCGCATGCGGATTCTAGCGTAAATATATTTGTTACAAAATTTCTGATATGCAACAATAGTAGATGTGACTAACCCTTATTTTTATTACGTTATGATTCAGTCAATTTAACTTGTGGGAACTGAAGTCTCGCTGATTCATTGTGCAATATTCCTCTGTAGTTCAAGTCAAGCTATTCAACAAAGGGACATTGACTCAGTGTGACAGAAACTGGGAGAAGACAAGAAAGAGTTCAAATCTAGTTTACGTTTATCATCAACTTTCCTATGAGTGGATAATGTGGTGAGTGAATAGCAATATAGCTACATAACATTGGAGAGTTATGAGAGTGGCTAGACTTTGAGTTCTACTTCATTTTTAATAATGGGTGAAAGAATACTAGTACCATTGGTGCTTTTGTTCAATTTTTTGTTGTCTGCAGTAGCACAAGATGTTACCAATGATTGTAAGTTCTGTTTTGATTCTGTGTCCTATGATCATACATGTTGATTCTGTTTGGATACTTATATGTATTAAGATTAAACACTTCAGTGACAGAAATATAACTTGAAAATTTTCAATGAGACTTCTCATGCAGTTAGAGCCCTAGAGTCTCTAAGGGATTCCTGGCAGAGCACAACTCCTAGTTGGGTGGGTTCAGATCCTTGCAATGGTTGGGATGGCATTAAGTGCAAAAACTCACGTGTAATTTCCATGTAAAGTCTCTTTAGAATATTTCCATGTTATGTTAGTTTTCAACTGAATTAATCTTTACTTTTGAAAGAGTATAACTTGGTGGCTAGTATTTCAGATCATTACCAGGCACTGGTTTGACAGGCCAGCTTTCAGGAGATATTGGATCACTTTCTGAATTGGAGACTCTGTAAGCCTTTTAATATACAGATTGAAAAACTATTCAGTTATCATAAATAGACTAGATTTCTGAGGCACATCAAAAAAAGAAAGATTCAAAAAAAAAAAAAAAAGTCTGCATATTACCTCAATTATTAAGGATTTGTCTCGGGTTAATTTGTTCATCTATAATATCTAACTGCAGTCAACTTTTGTCATCCACTTGGAGTCAAAGCCATGAGATTATGTTAGGCTAAGTGACTAGAAAGAATATCCAAATGAATCATAATTTCCTTGGTTTGTGAATTAATTTGGAGACCAATTTTTATGAATAGGCCACTTTTTTGTTCCTAATTGTTTTCTCCTTTTAACAGGGATCTCTCATACAATAGGGACCTAACAGGACCACTTCCACAAGAAATTGGAAATTTGAAGAAGCTATCAAAATTGTAAGGCAGTATTGATTGTTGTCAAGATTGTAACTCAATCCTGAATAAGCTTGATAAAACAATTCTAACAAAAGTGGTACTTTCTCATTTATCTTCCAGAATTCTTGTTGGTTGTGGTTTTACTGGTCCTATTCCAGATGAAATAGGATCCCTACAACAGCTTGTTTTCTTGTAAGGACTGTTCCAATTTTTTTTGGTAAATCACTGGCATACTAATTCTTGGGTGATATTCTAAATCAGCAACTTCCTATTGCAGATCTTTAAACTCCAACTACTTTGTTGGACCAATTCCCCCATCTATTGGCAATTTATCAAATCTTATTTGGCTAGATTTAACTGATAATCAGCTTGATGGATCCATCCCAGTATCTAGTCGATCTACTCCTGGTCTTGATATGCTACTCACTACAAAGCACTTGTATGTTAACTCTCTTCAGCTGCCAGTTTTTCTGTATTAGTGATGTTTTTAATGTGATCAAAATCCAGCCAACATGTTTCCAATATTGTCTGCAGTCATCTTGGGAAGAATAAGCTCTCAGGGGAAATTCCTTCTCAACTTTTTAGCTCAAAAATGACTCTGATACATGTGTAAGAGTTTCCCTCAAAAATTATACTTTCACACCTTTGTTTTATGTAAGATTTACACTAGTCCAATCCTGTACAAAAATTGGTCTAATTCTAGCAAAGGAGATGCATGATGTTTACGGATTTTTTGCAGTAACTAATCCTTAAAAAGGAAAAGTAGCATAAAGATATAGTGTTAAAAAAATGCAAATATGAGGATATTGATGTCCTTTTGCAAACTATGTTAGCTTCTCTTGGTAAACTACAGAAAAAAACAGTGAGGAAATTGAGATGAGTGACAAAAAAGACATAATTATAAAATAGTGAATTTAAACTTTAAAAGCATTTCTTTGTTGTCTTAGCGTGCCAATTTCAATATCGTATCTATCAATGAACCTGAATATATATATATTTACTGGCAGGATTTTTGAGAGCAATCAACTAATTGGCAGCATTCCAGAAACGCTTGGACTTGTTAAGAGTCTGGTGGTGGTGTGAGTGAATCCTTGACTAATTACATCCTCAAGCAAATTCATAGGTAGAATTTTGCTTCATGCTTGTTTGCTTAAACATGTTTTTGTGGCTACAGGCGCTTGGAAAAGAATTCATTAGATGGATATGTGCCTCAGAACCTCAACAACCTTACGAATGTTACAGACCTGTAAGCAGACATAAATTATAATGTGCCAACTAGAGTTATATTCTTCTTTATGCATGTTGGTATCTGAAGCAGAAGTTCAATCTTTGAACGGCAAGGATTTTGGTTTTGTGCTTTTTAGGTTGTTGTCCAACAATAAGCTGCAAGGTTCCCTGCCAAACCTTACAGGGATGAACTCCCTAGAATACTTGTGAGTAATAAAGCATTTATGTGTAACAATTGTAATGTTATTACTCAACCTTTCTCATGTGAGGTGAATGTTTCTTGTGTGATAATGGGAAATCTGTTTTGAAGGGATTTGAGCAACAATAACTTTGATCCGTCAGGTTTTCCACCATGGCTTTCAAATATGAAGAACTTAAGGACATTGTATGTCTTTCTTGTGCACTTGTTTTTCCCGTGAGTTCTCTATATATGTAATTTCAACACACTTCAATGCAATTTTCTCTTTTGTTGCTTGGCAGGCTGATGGAAAGTGTGAACCTTTATGGGAAAATTCCTGTTCCTTTGTTTAGTCTTGCCTATTTGGAAAATGTGTGAGTTACCTGTGTCTTTGATTCACTCTGAACAATCTCAAAAAGTCCACTTTTAGAAATAAAAAAAAAGTGGTTACATATTCATCATAGTTGTACTGATATATAAGACATGTTTGCCATGCAATGTGTTCATAGTGTGCTAAAAAGCAACAAACTTGATGGAACCTTGGATATTGGCACCAACTACAGCAAACAACTGCAACTTATTGACCTGCAATCAAATTCAATTGAAGACTTCAAGCAACAAAATGAATTCCCCAATATCACGATAATGTAAGTCATACTTGTTAATGATTCTGGATCATTTTTCTGTCTTTGATTGCATACATAGGTTATTTTGTTACTTCAAACAAATTTAGTCTTTTTTTTCATGTAGAAGATTTAATATTTCAAAGTCTTTGTTTTATAGAAGATTTAACTGCATTTTTGTCTGCAGACTTGTGTACAACCCAATTTGTGATGAAACAGGAGCTACTGGGACTTACTGCACCAAGCAAAATACCTTAGATACAAAACAACAGAAGAACTGTCTGGCTGACATTTGCAGTTCAAATCAGATTCTCAGTCCCAAGTGCAAATGCGCATATCCATATACAGGAACTTTAACTTTCAGATCACCTTCTTTGTTTGCCTGGAGAAATAAATCTTCCTTGGAGGAAGATCTTTTCCATGCTTTTCAATCCCTTCACCTACCAGTGGATTCAGTTTCTTTAATCATTCCTCCTGAAGATCCATTTCAATCTTTTGAGTTTATCATACAAATCTTCCCATTAGGCCAAGATCATTTCAACCAGCAAGAAATTTCTAGTATAAGCTCTTTGCTTGGCAACCTAAGTACTAATAGACCATATACTTTTGTTACTGAAAACCAAGGTAACTAACTACCCTACTAATTTTCACCCCCATTTTCTAGGGACAGAATTAACAATATTTATTGTCTCTCTTGTTTCTCATACTTAAGGACCTAAGGAGTCGAGTAACTCATCAAACATTGCCTTAATTATTGTTGCGGCTATTGGTGGTTCTTCTTTCCTGCTAGTGTTATTACTAGCAGGTGTTTATGCTTTCCGCCAGAAGAGAAGGGCTGAAAGAGCAATTTCTCTAAGCAATCCTTTTGGTAAATAATTATAAATTCAGTTGCTGCACTGTGACATCTGATTCTGTTATCTTATATTTTAGTTTTCATAAAATGCAGGAAACTGGGATCCAAATAAAAGCAACTGCGGCATCCCTCAGTTAAAAGCAACAAGGCAGTTCTCTTTTAAAGAACTTAAGAAATACACAAACAACTTTTCACAAGCCAATGATATTGGATCAGGGGGTTATGGAAAGGTCTTGAATGTTTCTTGTTAAGTTCAATGTGCTGCTGTGATTTAGATATATATATATATATATATATATATATATATATATATATATATATCTGACTTAAAAAATGTAGTGTACAAGTATTGTTTGTAAATTCACAAAATAAAAATTCTAGGGAGAATTATGATTTAGAACAACCTGGCTAAAAAAAATTATTTTCAAAATATTAACAACTTGACATGTTAACCAAATTGAATTTCCAATAATATTCAAAGAGTGGTAAATGTTGTAGCCAAATATTTAGTTAATTAACCACAAAAGTGGTTGATGTGGTTAATTTCCTAAGTTGGAAAATTTTCCACTAGAAATTCCTAACTCTAATTCTCCCACAATTCTAACTATGATGACAGATAACATGGTCATTCATGCAACCTTGTGTGGCACAATCACTCGCATCTATGCATTAGGTGCATGCAGCTACCATTAACCGAGACATGCTAGTGATTAGCAAGAAATTTTATATGAATATGTTAATAAATGTAACATTTATCGACATAAATTTAACTATATACTTCTAACAACAGACTAATCAGCTCACGTTCACAGGTTTACCGTGGAACTCTTCCCTGTGGGCAACTGATAGCCATAAAACGAGCTCAAAAAGGATCAAAGCAGGGGGTGCTAGAATTTAAAGCTGAGATTGAACTCCTTTCAAGGGTCCACCACAAGAATGTGGTAAGCCTTGTGGGATTCTGCTTTGAACGAGAAGAACAAATGCTGGTTTACGAGTTTGTTCCAAATGGAACTTTGAAGGATTTCATCTCAGGTACTTTATTTATTTATATATATATATATATATATATATATATATATATATATATATATATGCGGCAGGATATTCTTACACCAGTGTAAGAGTTAGAAGTCTTACACTCAATCTTGACCATTGATCCACTTATATTCAATGGCTTACATTACTAAAAAATTAGAGCCCTTAGATATATATATATATATATATATATATATATATATATATATATATATATGATATTCAAATCTGGAAATGGTTTCTAAACGAGATTTGACAAATTTATAACTCATGTTTATTGTACTTGATAAATGATAACATGCATATGATCTTCACAGGGACATCAGGATATGTATTGGGCTGGAGTAGAAGGCTAAAAGTAGCACTTGGTGCTGCTTGGGGTTTGGCTTATCTTCATGGACATGCCAATCCTCCTATTATACACAGGGATATCAAATCAAACAACATTCTGTTGGATGAGAACTTTAATGCAAAAGTCGCTGATTTTGGTCTCTCCAAGTCTATCTTAGATTGTGAAAAAGATCATGTCACCACTCAAGTTAAAGGAACAATGGTTCGTATATATCTTCTATGCATTTTTTACCACAAAATGAAGCAAGATTACTAATGAGAAGATGACATCTTATTTAACAAATGGGTGGAGGTAGAAAGTGATTAATTGCATGCTTTTTCAAGGTTCTAGTTTTAAGTAATTTTCATTCTAAATCTTATGTCTGTTGAGAATTTTTATGAAATTAAGTAAGCATCCAAGCCTATTATGATATAGCTTCTTCAACATATAGTGCAGTCATATCTGTGCAGACAAGGAAAACACATCATCTGACATGGAGTATAATCTAATTTTCAAAATCTTTTGCATTGGAGAAAATTGCATTAAACTTTTGTGATGACTGATGGGAACGGATTCAATTTATTGACATATAGGGCTACTTGGATCCGGATTATTATTCTAGTCAGCAGTTGACTGAAAAGAGCGATGTTTATAGTTTTGGAGTGATAATGCTGGAGCTGATAACTGCAAAAAAGCCAATAGAGCGAGGGAAATACATTGTGAAAGTGGTCAGGAATGCAATTGATAAGACAAAAGACTTTTATGGTCTTCATGAACTTATTGACCCAACCATCGGTTCAGGATCAACAATGAAAGGTTTTGAGAAGTTTGTGGACCTTGCAATGAAGTGTGTTGAAGAGTCAGGAGCTGACAGGCCTACAATGAGTGATGTGGTTAAAGAAATTGAAGACATGTTGCAGTCTGCTGGTTTGAACTCAACATCTGAACCAGAAGTATCTACTTCATCTATTTATAAATGTTATGAGGTAAGTATGGGGAGTCCCCACCATCCTTACAGCAATGAGTCCTTTGATTCAAGTACAGAACATTTGCATCCAAAAAATGAGCCTAGTTAAGTCTTCTTCTCAAGATAGAAGTCAAGAGAAGCTCATTTATCAAGCATTTCTTGGCCAAAACACAGCAAAGTTGAAGTAGAAGAGTTTATAGCTGTTAACTCACGAGTAAAAATGGTCCACATTTCCTTGACTGTCATTTTTTTTTTCTATGTTTCTGTATAAAGCAGTGTATTGTATGCCGAATATCAGTTTTGATATAGAATTTGTAGAACGTAAACGGTTATGTTTTTCATGACATTATTTTGTTATAAATTTCAATATATGCTTGGTATCTAGTGGTACTAGGCCTAGTTGCAGCACTATGTAAACATGATATGTGATAGGTGAACCCAATAAACACATTGTTAACGAGGGTTAAGTTAAATTCCCTCTCTAGCCTATATAAGATATGATTCAAGCTGCCAATTTCGAAATAGGTTATAGAGATTCTAATAATCAAACCAAAGTTCTTCCCTCAATTAACAAACATAAATTCCTCTCCAAATTAATTGATATATGGTATTCTATTAATTCATCTATTATCATGAACATAGTGACAACAATGATACGGATGACAACTGGACAAGTGATACTGATCCAGTAGAAGCGATCATGAATATTACTTATGAAAATAAAGCTAGAAGTACAACAAAAGTAAGAAGTTAATCTACTATATAAACAAAGTATAATTACATTTTTATTACATCCACCATATATCAAAGATAAGATTTAAAGCAATGATTATTTTGCCTGAAGAGAAAAATTATATGAAATCTAAATACTAATTCCGTGAGGGCGTTTGCTGCAGGAAGCCTTTAGCTATAAGGCTCTCCGCTGCTTCTCTCACAGCATCTTCAACTGGTGTGAAGACAAGGCCCAAGTCTATTAGCCTCCTTGCTGCATCTTTACATGGTGTAAGGCCAGGTTGAGTTTCCGCTGGAAACCTGCATGTAGTTCTTGTTCAGAGAATACTAGCATACTATGTAAGAGAATTCAGCAGACCAAAAGCACAAAAACAGAATTTAAATGAGTTCCAATTTTCTTAATTAGAAAATCTATCTATCTGGTTTTATATAAATCTTGCTATCCAGGCTGTCCAGTTTCCTACATGACATAATTGAAGGGATTGGATTGAACCACTCCTTATGTATATACACCAAGAGGAGCAAAGTTCACTCCAACAATGTAAATGTCATTATCACAATTGAAGCGACCACAGCATATAATCCAATCATCCTCAAACTAACTCAACATTAACAAGCAAAACCCAAAGAAACTGTATCATCCAAGGGGCCGGCAAGTGCAAGGAGTGATCACCGGACGGACAATGAGTGGCTTATGCCAAATCATGAATGAATCGAATCAAGACTCGAAAGAGAAGAATTCTAGATGTTGTGCTGGTATATAGGACTGTACAGTTAAAGATAACTTATAAGAATTAATTGATACAACCTGTAGCAATAAGATAAATCTACTTTTCCTAATAAGATAAATCTACGGCAAGTGTGTAAATGAAACAAAGCACACCGAAAGATCTCGTGTGTAACATGTATCTTGCAAAAGCAACAAGAAAATGTAACTAACTAACTAACAAACCTGTGAATAGGGAAATGAGGGTACAATTCAGAGACAGTGTTGGCAAAACTAGAAAACTGGTAGATACCATTAGTACACAGATATCTGCCAGCAGCAGTGGGAGTCTCATAAAGCAAAACATGAGCTTTAGCAACATCCTTAACATGCACACCACCCAACCAATGATACTCCTGTGTCTCCATTGACCCCATCATCAACCGCTGCAGCACGGCGGAGCTAGCATTCAGCGACGGCTGCAGCAACGGCCCCAGACACGTCGCCGGGTGAATCGCCACCACGTCCACGCCGTGCTTCCCCTTGAACTCCCACGCCGCCCTCTCCGCCTCCGTCTTCGACACCGGATACCACTTCCGCCGCGACTTGCAGTACTCGACATCCGTCCACGACGACTCGTCGACCACCTTGCCTTGCGGCCATTTAGGGTTCGGGACCATGGCGGAGATCGAGGAGGTGAGGACCACGCGCTTCACGCCGCCGACGCGCCTCGCGGCTTCTAGAACGTTCAGGGTGCCCTGCACCGCGGGTTGCACCAGCTCCTTGAGTGGGTCCGCGGGGTCCTCGAGTGTACACGGGGACGCCACGTGGAATACGCCGGAGCAGCCGTCGACGGCGCGGGACACGGCGGAGGCGTCGATAATGTCGGCGTAGAAGACGGTGACGCGGGTTTTGGCGTCAGGGTGGAGTGTAAAGAGGTGGGAGTGGTCGGAACCGGGGAAGACGGTGGCGTTGATGGTGGTGTAGCGTGGGTTTTCCAAGAGGGTTCGAACCAGCCACGACCCTATGAAACCGTTGGCTCCGGTGACGCACACAACCTCCTTTGTGTTTTTGTTAGCCATGGTTTTGAGGTTAGTTCAATGTTTCCTCTCACAATCTTGTGTTGTTTGGTGCAGTGAAAGTGAAAATGGTTCCGTGATATTTTTATTTTTATTTTTGATATCATAAATGGTTCGGTGATTTCGTATCTTCGTTAGGTACGATGATGTCCCCATTGTTCTTTAAAACCTTGTCATACACGAAACAAATACAAGAAACACCAACACCACGTGAAATTTTTTTTATTTTTTTTATTTTTGTCAAATTCTTCAATACAAACACTACTCACAAATTTTGTGAAAGTTACGAGTCTAAATGGTAATTAATAAAAAAAAATTAAAATAATGGATTGAAATTAAACAAAATATGGATCAAATTCATGTTGACATGACATGTGATATGATATGATATGATTTTTTGTGTATTATATTTTTGGATTTGTTTTTTCTGATGTTTAGATAATTTTATCTAATGTTTATCAAAACGACGTTGTTTTGAGACGGAAATCTTGGTATTTTTGTAATTTTAATTTATTTCAGGGTTATAATAATCTTTATCACTCTAATTTTTTAATTTTTCAATTCCAAAACGACGTTGTTTCAATGAATATTAGATAAAGTTATCTAAAGTAACATCGAATTTTTTTTTCCATTAATGTTTGAATTACACAAATTCTTTTACAAGTTAATTCGAACAAGAATTTTTATATTGTATCGCGAGTCAATTTGCTGGTCATAACATGTTTTAATATTTGTAATTAGTGAGTTGTATGCCACGTGGCTGGAATCTTAAGAACTTGCATGTAGCAATGATTAGACAGTTGAACTATGTTTGTTTGTTGAATTCCAAAGCAAGTTGATAAAAAATAGTTGGTTTGGAGTGTGTTATGAGTTTTAATATGTTTGCAATTTCTGCATAAAGTACTTTACATAATTTTCGAAGCCCTCTTGAATCAGTGTTGACTAAGGAAAGTCCTTTTTATTTTGAGTCTACCAAGTAACGATGATATAGTTATACACTTTAGAATCACCTTGACCTCCTTATATGTTGTAGTTGATGTACTACATTATGACTTTATGCAATTTAGCTTGTGCTGGTTTTTCTGAGATTTCCTTTGACGCATTACGTAGAGATGTTTTTCTTTTTTCACTGTCTGCGTTGGAATGCTTTTTAAAAGTTTAGTTGAATGATATTAGTTTTGGCTTGATGAATTAAAGTGCTGATATTGTTTTAATTAATATGATTATGATTTACGAGGAGTGTGAAATAACTTTGTTCTGGACATTTGTTTTGCAAAATTGCTTGGATATATTCAGTACCGGACCCAGGACATTTTTTTTATGTCTGCATAATTTTTATTTTTTTATTTTAAAGAACATGATCATGATTCAATTTTTGTTTCCACTTAAAAGTAAAGCTTTGGTGAATCAACCAAAGTTTTAAAGAAATAATAGATAATGATAATTAAAAAAAATAAACACCACAAAAAGACATTTGTAAAATATAGTATAATTGTAGAAGTTAATCAATCAAAAACCCACATTTGTCGATATATATTTGATCCAAAGTTGGCCACTTTTGTTTCACAAAAAAAGTAAAAAATCTCGTGCGATTCTACTCCACTTGATGAAGATTGAATTTCAGGAATGTTGGTGTTTGTTAAGATTTGGAGCTGATAAGGTTTATAAAAAAAAATAGATATTATTTTTGATCCCTAATAAAAAACATTGTCTACACTTTAGTCCTTTACAAAAAAAAAAAATTACTCTCAAAGTCCCTATGAAATTCAAAGTGGACCCCTTTAGTTGAAATCGTGGTCCTTACAAATTCAAAAAAGATTCATATTAATCCCTCAAAAGGAATAAAATAGGTCCACTTTGAATTTCATAGGGACCAACTGACTAATTTTTTTGTAAAAGACTAAAATTGGGATCGTATTTTTTGTTAGGGACCCAAGAGGGTATTTACTAAAAAAAAAAAAAGACAAAGCAATGAGCTAGGGTTTAAGCTTTAAACTTTTAATTGTAGGGGTTGGTTGGGTCGGACATATTTTTACTTTTTTCCTTTAATCTTCCTTTTTTTTTTTTTTTTTTACTTGACTTAAATCACTCATGAAATTTTTTTTCCACAACTTTGTGTCGGCACTTGCACTGATCTGCGTCCGCCACTGGATATATTGATGAATCAACCGGAGCGTTAAAAAAGGGTGAAAGTGAAAATAAAGGGCACCGCTCAATGTTGATGAGAATACGAAATCTGCTCTTCACACTAAATCCTTAATAATTTATTATATTTTAATTATACGTGTAATTTTGAATTGAAAGCTAAATAACGAAAATATTTCTAAAATACTTAATTCATACCTAATTTTATAGAAAAATAATTTAGAAAAGTCATATTCTCACATTTCAATTTTAGGTTTCACTGTTAAGCATATTTAAATTTTAATAGTTTAAAATTTTAATATTTTCAAATTTGAGTTTGTGATTACAATATTACATACATGAAATTCATATATGTTTATACTTAGTAAAATTGAATAATTATACTAAGTATAATAAAAAAAATAAAATTAAGTAAATATTTATATACATACTCCATATATGTATATATAGAGAATATTTACTAATATATGTATACTAATATATATTTCTTAAAAAAAAACTTGCAGCTACAATTATTAATTTAATTAAACTTTTAAAATGTAACTATCAAATTTATTCCTTCTTATTTTTATTTATTTAATATTAGTTCTATTTTTTGTGATTATTTTAAAATTAATTAATGAACCTTTTAATTTCTCTTTTACAAAAACAAATGGTAAAAGACTTATGATCAATACATTTATTTTTTAACATAGATATGAAAAATTACATATTTTGTAATGGGGAGAGGGGGTTTCCGAGTTAAAGTAATTAAATAGAAGTAAAGGGAAAAGTATTCATTCTTTTATGAGGAGGTTTATATTTATAAAAATTTTGTTTATAAACTCAACTATGTATTTTGGGGAATACAAGCTTTGTTTGCAATACATAGTTGAGTTTGTAAGAATTTGTAAACAAAAAGTGTGTAAATCTAACATGGCCCTTCTTTTATAGGCAAAATATTATCTCATTTTAAGTGAAATAGTAGTGTTTCAATTAATATTTTTTTAAAAAAAAATCACCAATAACCTCCAATTCTTTTTTTTTTTCCGGTAAGCCAATAACCTCCAATTCTCTTCTGTGATTATCTTCCATTGTGTGATAAATTTTTATCACCATTAAACATAGGTAAAAACGTTTTCTTTGGAACGGAGGCAAGACTAGTGAGTTTAGTCCTTCGAGGGGTATTAGGCAGGGTGATCCCCTTTCTTCCTATCTTTTTGTCCTTGCTATAGAAAAATTAACTCATATCTTTATGACTGCTTTGAATGGTGGTTTGTGGAAGCCTATTCATGTTGGTAAGGGTGGTCCTCAAATTACTCATCTTGCTTTTGCAGATGACCTCATGGTGTTTATGGAAGCTAGTGTTGATCAGTTTGATCTCCTGCATAAATGCCTATATCTCTTTGAAGAAGTTTCTGGTTTAAGCCTTAGTGTGGGAAAAACTAGTATTTTCTTTTCTAAAAATACAGATGCTGAGGTTATTGCTGATATCACTCAGAGGAGTGGTTTTAAACATGTTAAAAATATTGGCCGCTATCTTGGGTCAATGATGAGACATGGTAGAGCTTCAAAGGATTTATATGAAGAAATTGTGGAGAAAATAAAAGGTAAGCTTAATGTTCGGCATCAACAAAGTCTATCTCAAGTTGGTAGGATCACACTGTCAAGTTCTGTTTTGGTAGCTATCCCTTACTTCCAAATGCAGAGTACCAAGATCTCTACTTTCATTTGTATGCAGGTTGAAAAAATTCAAAGGAATTTCATTTGGGGTGATAAGGATCAGAGGAGGAAACATCACTTGATTAATTGGAAAACCATTACGCAGCCTAAGAAGGATGGTGGTTTGGGTTTGAAAAGATTGGAGGTCATGAATGATGTTTTTCTTGCAAAAAGAGCTTGGTTGTTTATGACATCAACATACCAGCTTTGGTTTAAAGTTCTTCATGCCAAGTATACTCCTAACTCTAGAAGGACTGGTTTATTTACATCATTAAATTATGATTCAGTGTTCTGGAAGAATTTGTGTAGAATTTGGAAAGAAATGGAGGATAAATTAATGTGGGAGCTTGGTGATGGCACTAGCATTAATTTTTGGAGGGACACTTGGCTTATTTAGAATCAATCGTTAACTGATTTTTCTGTGACAAGTATGTCTAATTTGAGGCTTAATGCCAATGTGGCAGACATGGTCACATCTGATGGGGATTGGGATTGGCATGTTCTTAATCAATGGCTTCCTGGTAACATCATTAACATATTGTTAGGCATTCTTCCTCTTAATGCAGCGGATGGGCCTAATAGGAGATTATGGAACTTGGATGGTGATGGTGTAGTCTCGGTAAAGGCTGTTTATGCTTCTCTTACTTACCAGGCCAATTCTGTTAATAATAACAGATTTAATTGGACCACTCTTTGGAAGTGGTTTGGACCTCAAAAGATTAAAGTGTTTATGTGGAAGGTTATGCATGGGAGGCTTTTGACTAAAGCCAAAACAGCTCATTGGGGTAGTGGGGATGACTTGTGTCCTCTTTGTGGTTTAGAAAAAGAGACTGTGATCCATATTCTTCGAGATTGTCAGATGGTGCGTATTATCTGGTCTTGCATGGTGCCAAATAATTATATACAATGCTTCTTTCTTGGTGATTTGGATGTGTGGTTGGAATTGAATTTCAAAATGGAGATGACAGATAATGTTGCTGATAGGTGGTTGTCCTTTTTCTTTGTCACTTGTTGGAAATCCTGGACTTGGCGTAATGAGGTCTTGCATGGGTCTTCTCTGCTCTCGGCTAATGAGAGAACTAGGATGATTCGGACTTTAGTTGATGATATTAATTTTGCTGGTTGTAATCATTCAAATCGGTTTGCTAAGAAAAGAACTATGAGTATTGATATTTCTTGGCAGTTTCCTATTCCTGAAATGATTAAGGTTAACACTGATGGGGCTGCTCGTGGTAATCCTGGTTCTGCAGCGTGTGGTGGTGTGAAGAGAGACGCTAATGGTCAGTGGTTGGGTGGTTTTGCTTATAGGTTGGGGTGTTGTAAT